AACGTCATCTGGCAGCCCGTTCCCAGGTTCAGAGCAGTGGTAATTTGATTTTTTCACTCTCTCCTGCAGGCTCACTAGATCCAAATATTTCCCCCTCTTCTCCTGCTTCCAAGGGGGGTTTTGTATTTTTAAACTGGTGAAAATTTAATCCTTTGCCAAAAGCTTTCAAAGGCTTTACTTGTAACGTCTTTGCTTCAGTCTATTTACAAAAACAGGAGGCGGACTTCCTGTTTATAACCTTCCCGTTTCAGTGCCAAATTGAAGTATTTTAGAATCCAATTTTCCGTTTTACTCACGAGCAGTTGTTTAAAATCCAATTGTCCACAGGAAAAGGTCAGCGCTCTCCGGCAACAGCAATGCGGCTTCACTCTGTGAAAGAAGCAGTCGATTCAAAGCACCGCGCCACTCACCCCACGTCACTCTGGATCCCCAAAACAGGGTTTCCCCGTGAGTAGGGGAGGCGCAAAGGTGCCAGCCGAATCCCACGTCCACAGGCTTCTCCCGCCTGTGGTTTTTAATGGGTCTCCGCCTTGCCGTGGCGGTTCAGACCCTGTTTTTCACGGAGCGGGTTCCTCCCGATCGGAGGAAATCCGCCATTGCCAGAGGCGCCAACCCGGAAGTCCTCCATGTGAATATATCTCCCTGGGTTATGCCCTTCACTGATCCTGCTCCACACCCTCGTCACATGTTTTTGCCTGCCTGAAATTGGCCCTTGAAATGTGAGATTGCCTCTTGCTTGCTTTGATGGAGGGATGTATGTAGGTGCAGAAAGCTCAGTGTGTGGTTGGAATGTAGTCTATGCAAAGGTAAGGGACACAACTATTGCTCCATCCACCTTTGCCTCTAGACACAACCACCACCTGTGTGTTTTCCCCAGAAGGGAATGTGTGGGGGTTGGGGTTGGGGGGGGCTAGAAATATATCCCAACCCTGGTTTACAGGGCCAGGATTGGCGCTTGGAGACAGTTAACTGAGTACTCCAGCAGGCTGGCACAGTAGCTAAGATGTCACACTCCAAGCACAAAATGTGGTCTTCCAGGTTTGGGACAGAGACAAGAGAGTTGACCACATGAGTGGTAAACTGTGGGAGCTTCACTCCTAGGAACTGGTTTGAGATGCACACGCCAGTGCCTCATTTCACCTTATTTCAGTTGGGGGGAAACTTTCTCAGTCTGAGGGCCACAATTCCATGCTGGGAAACCTTCTGAGGGCCACATGCCAGTGGTGAATGGGGAGAGAAGCAAAACTGAGCAGAGCAGTGAACATTGGGGTTGGCTCCAGAATATGGGTCAGGTTGGCCTTGTATCAGTCTGGGTCAGGACTGCCCTAAAGTGTTAAATTGGGACCAGATGAGAGAGAGAGAGAGAGAGAGAGAGAGAGAGAGAGAGAGCAGGAGCGGCAGAGGAAGCCTCTCGGGCACCTGGGGCGAACCACCCATAGGGGCGCAGCCCGGCCCGTGCCTTCCCTATGAGCACCACACACCCCGTCCCTCCCTATGGGTGCCATAGGGACGGGACAGGATGGGGCGCACAGCGCCCTTAGGGATGAGGCGTGCCGCAGGGCCTCAGCCAGCCTACAACTGGGGGGCAGGCAGCGGATTAACAGTGCGGAGCCTGCGGGTGCCAAGACACATGGCTCGTGCATGCTGCAGGCTCAGCAGTGAGTGCTGCCTGCCATTTTGTCACCCCCCCGTCAGGGTGGCACCCAGGGTGGTCTGCACCCCCACACCCCCTTCCTATGCCCCTGTGTGTGTATGACACGTGCATACACAGCCCTAATAGACAGTCGTTCAAATGCCTTCCAATAAACATCTTTGGAAGAAGACAGAATTGTTTTGTGTTAAACACTGATAGAAGGAGTAATACAGGGAGTTGAGGGGAGAGAAACTGTTTGGCAATTATTATAGTTTAACAACTCTGTGTATCTGTTACACAGTTGTTAGCATTTTATAGGCCTTAAATAATCAATTGGTATTTAATTAGCATACAGTACAATTACTGCCTTCCTAAATCTATAATGATAAACCAAAGTTGCAAGTTATTGGATGCTAATTACCAGTTGATGATTAGAAACAGCTAAAGAAATTTGCCAGCCTCATTCCTGATATAATATGGCATGTCCATTGCATATTGCTGAGCAGAAAGGCATGTCTCTTTTTCCCTGTGCCTTAGCAATCAATGGCTGCTTAATGTACAATATTTGTCTAATTAACTCTAAATTATATTCTCATTGACAACATTTCGGGGTAAGACATCTGTACTGTGTATGATGGATTAGACACAGAAGGCCTGTTTTCACTTAGCAGGATTTGTGTGTGCCACTTTCCTTTGCCTGACGTGAAGGACATCTATCCTGCCACCACCCCAGTAATTTTAAGGACAGACGGTCAGTAGGTGGGGTCTGTGATAGGAATGGATTAAGTAGCCTTACCCATATTGTTTCAGTTTCTCCGGCACTCAGTCTGTTCTATCCCATTTTGGGGACTTTTTAAAAAATAAGACACACAAAATTTCCACATTTAATTTTTATGCATGTTGTATGTAGTTTCTACATGAAATATTCACCTTTTACATAAAATGCACATTTTCAGTGCATTTCCCCCATAAAAGATGCTCTTTCTCCCCCCCATCTTCCCCATTAAATATTTTTTTCCTGTGTGCACTTTTGTATACTGAAACTGTCACAAAAATCAAATTATTAGAATCATAATCACCATTGATTTATTAGTCATCTTCTAAACGACCATCTCAAGGGAGGTTGCATATATGGTATTTAAAAACAGTTAAGGACACAAATACAACAAATACATTTAAAGCAGGACCAAGACCCTAATAAGCGGACCCTTGTGGTAAAGACCCATTTAACCAGCTGTTGGAACAAAAATGTCTTTGATTGTTCTGTAAAGGGCAGATAGTGGACACCTGTTGGATCCTGAAAAGAATGCTCTTCCAAAAGGAGGGGCAGCTGCAATAAAAGCCCTGCTCCTGTGAATTACCGCACAATGGGCATCTGAGATCAGTGGAACTTGTAAGGAGGAGAAGCTCTCCCATAGACTGCAACAATCTACTGGTCTGTCAAGTAACCTGGTCCTGGGTTGTGTCGGGACTTATATGATAGTATCAGTACCTTGAACTACGTGAGTCATCCAACTGATGATTTGTTTTCTGATCTGCAAGCAAGTTTGGAAGGATTGGGACAGGTTGGTCTGCTGCAAAAACAAAACAAAACAACAACAAAACCACCACTGAATAAATTCATTCTCCATCCCTAACCAAGGTTGTGTTTTGACTAGTGAATGGACTAGTGTTGGCTCCAGACTTTGCATGGACTGGGCAAGAGTAATAGGTAGGTGAATAGTCCTTCAGGTAACGTTGTCCCAAACCATTTAGGTCTTTATAGTTTAAAACCAGCACTTTGAATTGCACCCAAGCAGGGAATGAATAGGCTGCTAGTGCAGTCAACATGAAAGTTTTATATGCCACCTTGCAGCCTTTTGAAGCAATTGAGGTTTCCAAACAATATTCAAAGGCAGCCCTAAATGGAGCATGTTACAGCAATCAAGGTGGGTAGTGACTAAGACCTGGATAACCATAGCCAGATTTCCATGGGCAGCACTCAGTGTGTTGGCTTATCAAGGGAGAGCTTGTGGAATTTAGGTGTTTGGGAAGCAGGGCCCACCAGATTATAGTGTAAAAATACTAGAAAATAATTTAATTCCTTTTCTAGAGGGGGAAAAAGGCTGATTTAAGGCTGAAGTCGTGTACTCACCTACCTAGGAGTAAGCCCCATTGAACTCAGTGGGACTGAGTAGACATGTAAAGGCTTGCACTGGAAGGCTTCAACCTTGTGCACACTTTTCTGGGAGTAAGCCCTATTGACTAAGGTGACTTCTGAGAGAATATGCATAGTTTTGTACTGTAGTTTAGAAAAAGACTCAACTCCTACCCCAGCAGAATAATAATAGTAATTGTAATAATAATAATAATAATAATAATAATAATAATAATAATAATAATTTGCATGGCAGACTCTTGTAGGCAAATTGACACAGTACCTGTTCATGAGAAACCACTCCACATGTCAGCTGCCCAGTGAGAGAGGCCGATGATACATCTTGCAAAGGCGAAATGTGTCAATTGTATAGTATGAGTGATGGATTTGGACGCAATGCCCCCTGGCTCTGTGTGAGAATCAGCTTGTCCTTCACACTCCGAATGGATGTTAATAACTGCACCTAACGGATGTTAAAGCAGAAAATGCCAGAAAATGAGTCAGCGGGATTTTGAAGGAGAAAGTGCAGGGGAGAGAGAGAGAGAGAGAGAGGCAGTTAACTCTACAGAGCAGCTTGCCATACATTGCACAAATACGTCAGTGAGTACATACACACACAGAGTGTTGAGAGGGTCAGGGTCACGGAGCTGGAGAGACATTGTTCAAGAAAAGTATACACATACTCACACACTCATATACGGCTCAGGTCTGACAATGCAAATGTTGTGTCTGCAGCAAAGACAGAGATGCATTAGCTGCTGCTCAGAATCTCCTCTTCTGGACCGTGTTATTAAGGAGATGGGAATCGGGCTTTGTCTTATTTGCTGCTGAGCAGGACATGTGGTGGTTTTGCTGATGGATGTGTTTATGCCAGCTGCTGTTTCTGTGACCTGGTTTTTTTAAAAAAACTGCTGCCTGTTATATAACCCAGGAGCATCAGGTCTAACCAAAAAGAACGAAAAAGGGAAGAGAAAGGTAAGCAGGAAGCGAGAGGATCAGCGGAGGCAGTCCTTCATTTCCACAGGGAAAGGACTTAAGAGGAGGAAAGCAATTTCTCCCCTTACAAAGCAGCTGCTTAATTCTTGGGGGAGCTGCCGCTGGTTGAAGCCTGGATTGAAAATGAAGTAGACGCAAAATAGACCAAACGAGACATGACAGCTAATTGTGTGAATGCAATTAAGATGTACATTTTTGTTATGCAAATGTAACAGCCAAGGGAAAGCCCCAGCAGGGTCTTAGCTCAGTGGCAGAGCATCTGCTTTGCATGCAGAAGGTCCCAAGGTTGAATCCCTGGCATCTCCAGGGAGAGCTGGGAGGGACCCCTGCCAGAAACCCTGGGAAACTGCAACCAGCTTCCCTGCAAACAGTGTTGACCTACATGAACCAATAGCCTGATGGCAGATTTCTGTATTCCTATGTCTTGAAGGAAGGACTGCAGCTCAGGGATTAGAACACCTGCTATGCATGCAGAAGGTCCCAGGTTCAGTCATCTTCAGCTAGGGCTAGGAGTGTCTTGCCAGGAACTCTGAAAGGCCATCGCTAGGTGGGTTGGCTCAGTATAAGACAGCTCCCTATGTCCCTCTTTCTATCCTTGTCACAGTCCCCAAAATACCGTATTTTTCACCCTATAAGACGCACCAGACCACAAGACGCACCTAGTTTTTTGGAGGAGGAAAACAAGAAAAAAAATATTCTGAATCTCAGAAGCCAGAACAGCAAGAGGGATCCCTCTTGCTGTTCTGGCTTCTGGGATAGCTGCGCAGCCTGCATTCACTCCATAAGATGCACACACATTTCCCCTTATTTTTTAGGAGGGAAAAAGTGAGTCTTATAGGGCAAAAAATACGGTAATTATATTTCAAGGGAAGTTCCTTTTGACACCTTTTTTTAATAACAGTCCTGAAGGGGGGAGATTTGTGTCAGAACTGCAGCAGGGAGGGAAGGGTTAAACTTTTCCATCCTATCCTATGATTCCAGGGCTGCTCAGGTGTCATCACAAGTGTCATTTGTGTAACAACAAACCATGCATGTTAGTACATTCACACAATCAACATCAAGCGCATCTCAGCCCTAAATCCCTATATCCAAGCAGCAGTTCCCAAGTATTGTCTAAAGGTTCCTAGACAATTCAGAACCACAATTTTCTAGGCTGGTGACAATTTCAAAGGCTAGTGTAAGCATCCGAGGGATGGGGGAAGCACAGACATGTCCCTTTCCTAGCTGCTCTCAGCTGAAAAAGCACACTGTATGTGTAAGCCCTGGAAGTTTTATGTTTGATTCCTTCCCTCTCTCTTGCTCCCCAGATTCAGTCTGTCAGCAAAACAAGTTGCTTTTCTTCCTAAAACACTGTAAAAACATCTCTCCCTTCCTCTCGGTTCCATTAATGTCAGTCTTCTTAGTGTTTGTCCTGTCCCGTTTTGGGCAGACTTTTGTTTTGAAAGAGTGCATGGAAATTCAGCATTTATGTTGCACACATTTTGCATGCATTCTCCGCATAGGCTTTAAATAACAGATGCACTTTTAAAATGCAAAACACCCACCTTTTTCAATGCATTCATCCATAAAACATGCAATTTGTATGCATCTTTTAAATAATACATACATATACATAAACACACAAAAGTGTACCTATATATAGCACACACATTTCATAAAGGGTGTGTGTGTGTAAACTTTTAGTCTGCTAAAACAGCCTTGCAAGTTCTGGAGAAGTGCACAATCTCTTTCTTTTTTTATAAGATATTTATTAAGGTTTCTTGAAATATTACAGTAAAAATGAAAAAGAAAAGAGAAAAATACAAAATAAAAACAGTTAAAAACACACATATTTTCTATTACTTATTTTCCTTTAGCTTGTTTCCCGGACCTCCTCGTACCTCCCTTTTTTGTATTCCGCTTCAATTTATTGGTTCAGCAAATCCTTACCATTAGATTTTAACCCATTTATAAACCCTTTTTTCGTATTCTCTTAGAGCATTACAGCTAGAAACCGCTTAATTACTATCCAACATCATTCTATCATTCATTAATTTTACAATATTTCTGTAAATAGTCTTTAAATTTCTTCCACTCTTCTTCCACCGACTCTTCTCCCTGGTCTCAGATTCTGCCAGTCATTTCTGCCAATTCCATATAGTCCATCACCTTCATCTGCCATTCTTCCAAAGTGGGTAGATCTTGTGTCTTCCAATACTTTGCAATGAGTATTCTTGCTGCTGTTGTAGCATACATAAAAAAAGTTCTGTCCTTCTTTGGCACCAATTGGCCGACAATGCCCAGAAGAAAGGCCTCTGGTTTCCTCAAGAAGGTATATTTAGATACCCTTTTCAGTTCATTATATATCATTTCCCAGAAAGCCTTAATCCTTGGGCACGTCCACCAAAGGTGAAAGAATGTACCTTCAGTTTCTTTACATTTCCAACATTTGTTATCGGGCAAATGCACAATCTCAGTGGGAGTTCCAATCTACAACCAAATTAGGGAGAATGGTATTGGGTCAACCTGCAAAAAGGCATTCTTCCTCCAGCATTGTCTGCTACTGTAAACATCTCCTTTCTTCCACCTGCTTGCCATACTTCAGTCCTTTCATCTCTATCTAAAACTCCACTGTGAAAAAATTACCCCCCTTTCCCAGCCATCTAATACCATGCCCACTGGCATCTCCACTGCCTCTTCTGTGTCTATCACAATTTAAATAAACCTTTTACCACAACTGTTCATTACAGAATAGTGAGTGGAGGAGATGGGAGCAGAATTGTGCCCAATAGCTGCAGCCCCTGACTGCCCCATCCATTCATCTTCATGGTTTCCAATTGCATCTGGACTGGGAAACTGGTTTCTGGGATTGAAATGGACTAGGATCCATAACTGACATTAGATTCTTGTTTGTTCTGCTTCTAATGGCTCTGGTTTTCTTGGTTCACATGAAATGGGTGGCTATGAGCCACCAGTCTCTGAAATCTTCAATGATAAGCTAAGATTTGTCCACCCAAACTTGGCCCTCCAGATGCTTTTGGACTACAACTCCCATCAACCCTGATCACTGGTCCTGTTAGGCAGGGATGATGGGAGTTGTAGTCCCAAAACATCTGGAGGGCCGAATATGCCGATGCCTGACCCAAACTGAGTCACTGGGATCTGTTGTTTGACTTTAGCATGAGAAGTTGCTTGCCCCAGATAGGCCTACCTGATGCTGTAATCTTTTTGACACTAAGCTAAGACATTCCTCTGCCCCCAGATCCTTGAAAGGATCTGATGATCTGAGTTATATATAAGCCTTTTGGTGATTGCTTATCTGTGATATTTTGTAATTCTGTTGGGTTGGGATAGTTTTTATTATATTATGAACATTGTATACATTTTCTTTGAACATCTGTACATTTTTAACTGGTGCAAGATGCTTTGCATCTCCTTTTAGAAAAAGCCACCTCTAAGAAATGTAATAAACTATTCTAAACTTATCCATCTTAGTCTTCAGCTCAGCTGAGACGAAACAGAAGTGCACATGAACTGCTTTTTGAGGAAATCCATCCCTTGTCAGTCTTGCCTCTCTCCCTCCTTCCGTTGTCTCCCCCGCACCCTTGTCGCATTACAGAGAGTGACGTGTTGACTTCTTTCACATTCTCAGTGCAGAGACTTGTCTTCTTGCTTGAAATGTACACCAATGTTGCTGCATGAATAATGAAAATACAGAGCTAATGAGAGAGAGGACAGATGGGGATGTCTTTCTGGGCATTACTAGAGAGAGGTAAAGTCCCTTTTTGAATACCCAGTGGTTAAAGCACACTTAGCTCTCTCTCTCTCTCTCTCTCTCTCTCTCTCTCACACACACACACACACACACACACACCACTTAATAATGTTTAACCCTGGCCAAATAGTTCCCATTCTTTGCTTTTTTCTTATCTCCCCCCACCAATGTCTAATGTGAAGATGTTCTTTTATCAGAGAGCTGATAAAAACTTAGTACTGCAGCGATTGAAACCAAGAAAGGAAATAGAATTGGGGTGGGGGAAACCTTCTAATAAGCAATTATTATAGCAGCCTTACAAGAGTTTGCATTTCTTCTAAGGGTTGTGTAGTAACTGATAGCAATTTCTGGTAATTAAATACAAATTAATTCCCATAACTGTGGAGAGAAGTTTATTTATGGTATTGTATTTATTAGTGCTCCTTTATTTAAAAATGCCATCATTGTTTTTGTTAAGTAATTACAGTTTGCTAAATAATTTCCCTCGCGTAGGTATGAATTTTAAATAGCAAAGATATTGTTGTATCACAGAGAGGATGGGGTGTGAGCGGAGGAAGGTTGCTTAGATGTTGGATATCTCCTACATGGCAGAGCTGTGGTTATATAGAGCTGCAGTAGGATTGTTGACTTCATGGCAAATGCAAGAGATCAGAGAGACTGGGCAATTGCCTGAACCCATGCCCATTAAGGGGCTACTGACTTGAGGGAAATCAGTGAAGTCATGACTGATTTGGGGCAGGGTCTGTATGGGTGAGAGGCACTGAGTGTCTGATCTTCAACCTTGCCATGCTGTGTGCATAGCAAGGGCCCTGAAGTCTCACATGCACACAGACGTGAAAATGTAGTGAATGGGAAATTGGAAGAATTATAAACCAAAATTGCCAGATTTGTCCACCCTTGTTTGTACTGAATCAACTAAGCAAAGGAAAAATGGTATCTGCTGGCTTTTGGGTCTAGCACCCAAAGAGGAACCAGCTGTTTTCTCTCCGGAAACTAAGCTCCAATAACCAGCTCTGGCCTCCCCTTTAATTCCCCCCACAAGCCCCAGTTTAATTCTGAATGCCACTCCGCGTGCCATCTTTCCCAGCCGCCCAGCACCTCAGCTGGATTGCGCAAACCTCCAGAGGGAAACTTCTGCTTCTACCAAATAAGCACTTCACATGTGCTGGTGGTTTGAAAACATCAATTAGCTCCCAAACAATTATTATTATTTTTGAAATGTCATTTTATAGGGCCAATAGCACAACACAATAATCCTGAACAATTTAGCAGAGTGTGTTTACCGTGCAGAGAGCCATTTATTCCGCAAGCCATGCCGCTGAAGCAAGCCTCTTAACGTGAAATGGCAAGTGAGGCAGAAGCAAAATGCCATTTCCCCCGCATATATTAGCGGCGTGTCGACAGGAAGCGCCTTGTTCTGCCGAATGCCATTTGCCTGGCATTTTCTCATGCTTACAGAGTTCTCATAGGAGGGAACAGCTGTCACCATTGACAGGGGCAGTGGCATCATGGGCACAGCCTGGGCACTCCCTGAAGATCAGCTGGGAGCTGGAGACTTTTACATTTTTTATATAGGTTCATGTGTGAAGGCAAATGAAGACAGAACAGCAGCCCTACCTATTATTATTATTATTAGTAGTAGTAGTAGTAGTAGTGATATTTTTGTTGAAAAAGAGGTGCTGGAACTCACCATGAACGCCTCCCTTGTTCTCTTATAATGTCTATGGAGCCCACCTGAGAGATGCCAGAACTGAGTTCCGGTGAGTTCCAGCTGTAAAAAAAAGCTCTAATATTATGGTGACCTTGTTATGCATCAGAAGACGTGACCACCATGTCACTTTTCCATTGGAAAGTGTATGTCACAAACAAAACTCCCAGTCAAATACAAATGACCTCTATGGTGGTTATGGATATGGTTGCCAACTTTGTTCTGGCCACATACAGGGCAGGATGGGCGGGTGAGCAGACAGTGTGTGGGTGTGAGCATTGGGGCCATATTTTTTCCCCACCTGATGCTGAAATGACTTCAGAGCAATCCATTACATTCAATTGCAGCCTAACAGGATATCCACTCTGGAATTTGTCATGTGCACATGTTCATGCATGCACACACACATGTGCACACGCACATGCACATGCACAGACACACAAATTTGTAAATCTGTCTGTATTTTGCTACCCAGAACTTAAATACCTGACCTTTCACACACCCTTTCACACACATGCAATGCTGTACAGCACTACATGCAGGCCAGGGCAATAAATAAATAGGAAGGCATATTCTGATGGGGGGTGGTGAGTTTTATTCCACATGTTAAATTTCTGAAAGAGAGAGAAAATGTTAGGGGGGTGGAGCCTTGTGGGGAGCTATTTCTCTCCTACCTCCCTTCTCAAATATCATGCATAGAACTATATTCAGAACTGGGTCTTCTGGACTATACAAAACTGCTTGTTTCTAGAGCTTCACAATCTGTCGCCCTATGAGGGATGGGACCTGCCACTCCCAGGCTGCAGCCTTGCTCTGATTTGCTCCTCATTGTGGACAGGATGCGGAGAGGGAGCAAGAAGGAAAAGGGAAAGGAAATAATTGAGAGGTTTCTCCAGCCAAGCCAGCAATGCCTTCCCTGTGGGACTGGTCATAGGCATTTGGAGAGGATCCCTAACTTCTGCATCCCATATTGAATCAACACAGGACATAGCATTTGAAAAATATGCAGCCTTTCTGTTCTACTGCAGTTTAGGTAAAGGTACCCCTGCCCGTACAGGCCAGTTGTGTCTGACTCTAGGCTTGTGCGCCCATCTCACTTAAGAGGCCGGGGGCCAGCGCTGTCCGGAGACACTTCCGGGTCACGTGGCCAGTGTGACGAAGCTGCTCTGGCGAGCCAGCACCAGCGCAGCACACGGAAACGCCATTTACCTTCCCGCTATAAAGTGGTACCTATTTATCTACTTGCACTTAGGGGTGCTTTCGAACTGCTAGGTGGGCAGGAGCTGGGACCAAAAGATGGGAGCTCACCCCGCCGCGGGGATTCGAACCGCCGACCATACGATCAGCAAGTCCTAGGCACTGAGGTTTTACCCACAACGCCACCCGCGTCTACTGCAGTTTACCTTCCACCCAAACCTATGCTATTTGTCTCAGGGGCCACTGTGGCAAAATTACTGTCAGGATGCTGTCAGCGGCTCCCAGCTGGTTGCCCAGGAAAGTATAAAGATAAGGAAAAGTTTCTTACCATCCTTTTTTTATTTCAGTCTTTACACAGAGAGGCTATAGAACCCAGTCTCTTGGATAATGGTGTTGTTCCGAGTGAATCTCCACCATACCACACACACCCCATCTCTCCCACTTCTTCATTCGTCACTTCTACCGGTGCTGCTATATACCCTCTGTCTTTGAGCTCTTTGCTTTCCTACTTTTATGACTCACTGGGTTCTGGGAAATGGAGGGTCTGGAATGCTTTCTAATGACACATGTCAGCCAGCTGCTGCTCTTCCTCTCCCATGATTTCCCAACTTTCCCCCTCATCTGCTTCTGAGTTGTGACCTCCCGCAAACCACTGTTGCAAATCTATTCTGTCTTCCTCTTCTTCCTCCCTGGGAGGGTCAGGATGGGGAGGCGGTCTGCACCATTCCTCCTCTGCCCAGTCCCTGACAATTACACAATTTACCTAATTAACTGCAAAAGTTACATCACCATTGCATTATTTCTCCCCATTCATTTCATTGCAAAGGAAATGCAATGCAAAGGCAGGTAGTAATCAGTTATAGATATCATTTGTGGACAAGAAGAGCAAATAGGTATTTTTCATATCTGTTGGTTTGATTTCCATTCTGAATATGGGACAAATAAGTGAACACCAGCAATTTCTGCTCCCATTTCTTTCTTTTTTTGTTCAGAATTCTCTCATACCTCTAAACTCCTGATGTAAGGGGAGACAGGCTTTTTATACAACAGCTGGGTTTCCAAAGTGTTTCTTGACACAGTTACTGAGCCATGGGCAACAGGAAGGCCACAGGCCTGTAATTTGTTTACCTCCTAGAACCCAGGGGCAATCCTGACTTTTTAAGAAGTGCATTGAAGAAGACCCAGGGATGCTCCTGGGATTTATCTGGATTTAGTATTCCTTAACATGCCAAGAGTCTGCTTAAGGGCTGACCTGATTATCTACCATGGATGCACATTGTGTGTATATCTTGCAGGATTATTAGTTAGGTGCAGCCATCAGGTTGAAGGCCAATGTAAAACAGGCAATTTTTCTGAGGATGAAGTGGGGCAGGGGCAGAGGATGTTGTTTTCAGGCGTATTATTAGCTGTGTGAAGGTTTGCTCCAAACACTTGCACAAA